CCACCGTGAGCCCCGGGATGCAGAAGGTCCAAAGGCTGAGGACACTGGGGTGTGTTGGAGGCCAGTGCCGAGCCGCTGCACCTCTCCGCCGTGCGCGGGTGGGGGGTGTTCGGGTTGGGGACACAGCCGGGAGGCGCGGCCGCTGCGGAGGGGAGAGAAGGAACCCGGCAGGGCGGGCCCATCTGCAGCCTGTAGGGTGATCTCACCTTCACTGGCGTGCAGGCGGCACCCGAGGCCATGTCTGCACCAGGGAAGTCGTCTGCGAGCGGGAACGCTGGACCGGGAGGACACTGCGGGACCGGCGCAGCGCGGGACTGAGCTGTGCGGGGGCCCCTGGGCCCTGGCTCCTCCTCTTCCTCCCGGGGAGCGTGGGATTGGCTGCTCTGCTGGCACCCTCCTCCTCCTCAAATCAGGTTCCCGCCTTCGGACCCTTCTGCGGACTTTTTGGGTTCTCAGTGCTTCTCCTATCTTGCCGCGAGATGGCGGGTCCACGATCAAGGTAGAAATGAAGCCACTTAGGACGTGCTTGGCACATCGTCTTTTAACTTGTTCATAAGAACTTCGCGATATGGCGCAGTACTTCCAGGTTTGCACCGAATTGGCTGCCTCTGTGGCCTTGGCTGTAAAACCAGGCCCTGCCGCATTCCTGCGGGGCTTTTGGGTGGGCGAAGGGAGGCTGAAGGGTGCTAGCCGAGATTCCCGCCCCCCCCTGCGCTCTGATTTACAAACTGGTTTATTCATCCAGTTTGGTGGAAGGCTTTTAAAGAGACAGGACTCTGCCTAACACTCAGCCTGGTATCACTATGCAAGGGGCATTTTAAGTACTTCCTACAACGCCTAATGGTGCAGATTTGCAATCCCAGTCAGTCCTGAGGTCAGAGCAGCAGTATGGCAAGTTCAAAGTCTGGTTTGGCTACAGAGTGAGTTCAAGGCCACCCTGAGCTATATTGAGAGCTTATCTCAAAAAGTAAAAAGAGAGCTTGGTATTTAGTCCAGGACTAGAGTGTTTACCTAGCATCCAAGGAGGTCCTAGCTTCAATCCTGAGTCCAATAAAACAAAACAAAAGTCAAAATAAAACTTCCTATGCCAAGGCAGCATACAATACAACAGGATTCAGAATCAGGACCTGTGTCTCCATGATGCAATACTAGCAGGACCCTCACAGATCTCAGCGGCCATTCCCTGGATGTTCACTGATTCTCAGAGGCCCATACCTTTTCCACAGCCTTTGATGGACTAAATTGTACCAAACGGAGTGCTGAGAGGCAGCTATCATTTTCCTAAAGCTTTATTTCAGCTGGAGTGATGGCTCAGCAGTTAAGAGCACTAGCTGCTCTTCCAGAGGACCTGAGTTTAATTCCCAGAACCCACATGGTGGCTCATAACCATCTGTAACTCTAGGTCCCCACAACCGGAAAACAAAACAAAACAAAACAAAAAACAAAAACAAAAACAAAAAAACCAACCAGAATTTTGTGCTGGAGAGATGGCTCAGAAGTTAAGAGCATTGACTGCTCACATAGTGGCTCACAACCATCTATAATGAGATCTGGTGCCTGTTTCTGGCCTGCGGGCATACATGCAGACAGAACATTGTATACATAATAAATAAAATCTTTTAAAAAAAGCATTATTTCAGATTTCAGTGTGTGTGTGTGTGTGTGTGTGTGTGTGTGTGTGTGTGTGTGTGTGTTCAAGGGACCAACCCCATTTTTTGGCAGCCATACAGGCTAACACATTCTTGCCTGACCTTGGCCTTGGTCACTAGGAGGTCAGATGCCTGCCTCATGGCAAGGAACCAATCAGCTAGTAGGGCTGTTCTTTATGGCTCTGGGTGTGCTTTATGGACAAGTGCACAGCAATGATGTGCAGAGCATAGCAACCACCCTGGGAGGGCCTATGGGCCATAACAACCAGTTGACCAACACAGGGTAAGTCCTCCAAGCCTGGAGGCATACCAATCCTGAGCCTGTGCATACCCCTAGACACTCCCCTTACACTGTCCTATATAATCTTTGTCCAGTGCTTTCTCGGGGGTCTTTCCCCAGCCATCTGCTATGATGGATGGATGAAAGGCCCGAGCTAATGGGGTTAGCTTGTTAAACAACTCCATTAAAAGACTCATTGCTTTTGCATCGAAATGGGCCTCTTGGTGATTTTGGGGTTCAGAATTTGGGCACATGTGTGTGTGTGTGTGTGTGTGTGTGTGTGTGTGTGTGTGTCTGCAGAATCCAGTTTGCAGCTGGAGTTATAAGCAACTGTGAACAACCCGATATAGGTGCTGGAAATTGAATTTACCTCTGCAAGAGCAGTAGGTACTTCTAACCCCCCAAAACCATCTCTCCAACCCTGTATAACAGCTACATTAAGGGTGGCGGTGGCCCCTGAAATATACAAATTACTCTATGGTTGGGATGGGAGTCGAGGAATGAAATAATGTCTTCCTTTCATCAGTATTAATTGAAGTTCCCAGAGAAAAAGTACCACCTCCATACCCCTCTACAAGGCTGACTGACTAATCAGAACTTTGATGACTGGAGAGGTGGAAAGTTGCAGGCTCAAAACCAAATTATTCTGGACTAAGTAGTATTTATCGACTAACTTTCGGTGTGCCTTAGCATTCTTCCCTATTGGGTAAATAGTTTTGGAATGTTCTAAGCTAGTCCCACCAATCCCCAAAGCTACGGATCATCAGCTAGCATATGCAGACTTCCCTGCTTTGCAACTCACCGATGTGGTGTTTTCACAAATGCATCCAAAGTGACTTCCTCTAAGATTTTCATTGTTCTGCTCTGTTCTGTCCTGGAACGTGATATTTGAGTTAAACTGAATCTGTGTTCCCTGCCATGGCCACTCATCTTGGATCCAAAGTAAATCCCATACTCCCTATGAGGTGAGAGCTGGTGTTTGTGTCAGCAGTAAGGCATCAGCCGTGCAATTCCATTCACAGCATCTATATTCTGTGAGTGTAGATGCTGCCTGAAGCTATGTAGACTCATTTGTTATCATTATTTGTTCTGGGTATAAGTTTTCCTCAAAATATAAAGCTCTTTTTTTCCCCTGTTACAATTATCCTACTTTAGGTTATAAGATACAATGGAAAGCTGGGTGTGGTGGTGTCAGTTTGTGATTCTAGCATTCAGAAGGCAGAGGCAGGAGGACTGTCAGTTTGAGGCCAGCCTGAGCAACATAGTGAGACACTGTCTCAGAAACTAAAACATAATGGCAAAAGGAATAGGAAAGATTAGGTCAGGATGGGGAGGTGAGATGGTTCAGTAGGAAAAGGAGCTTGCTACCAAGCCTGATGGCCTGAGTTTGATATCAGAACCCACATGGTGGGAGAAGAGAATCAACTCTACACATTGTTCTCTGACCTCCTCACGCATGCTGGAAGGCATGTACACACACACACACACACACACAAGTTTGTGTGTTTATGTATGTCTGTGTACATGCATTTGTGATTAGCTTGGAAGTTCTAGCTGTGCACATGGAAGTCAGAGGACAGCTCGCAAGCATCATTGTTTTCCTGCCTCCTGTGGGATCTGGGATCTAACGCAGCTCATCAGTTCTGCATTCAAGGGCCTCTACCCACTGAGCTATCTTGTTAGGTCAAATGATTTATTCTAGGAGACCATGTCAAATTGAATTTCTAAAGAGTTAGAAGCAAAATATTCTGAGGCATGGTGGTGCATGTCTTTAATCCTTTAGCATTTGGGAGGCAGTGGCAGGCAGGTCTCTGAATTTAAGGCCAGCTTGGTTTTTGTAGTGAATTCCAGGCTAGCCTGGGCTACACAGTAAGACTATCTCAGAAAAAAGCAAACGAAAACAAAACCATAATACTCTAACAAATCCAGTCCAACCTTGCTGGAAATATATTTAATTGAGTAATAAAAGAATCAGCAGAATGAAGGAAATATAAGCTGAAACAATGAGCAGAAAAAAATGCTAAAATAAAGAGTGAAATACAAAATTGGGTTCATATTTCTTACAAGGCAATAAATCTATCTTGTGGAATCCTTTCCTTCCAACAGATACCATTCACATTTCTTGCTGAGGAAAAGTGGGACACCAATTTTTATTTATTATTTGTTTGTATGTGTGTGCCCTGCCCACTCTGTGGAGGTCAGAAAAAATTTTGAAGAAGTCATTTCTCTCCTACTTGTTTGTAGGATCCGTGGCATGAACTCAGGTCATTAGGCTTTCATGACAGGCTCCCTTGCCCACTGAGCTATCTCACTAGTCTGTGACATCAACAATCTGCCAATACCTAATACTGTAATTGCTGAAGACTTACCAATAAGAGACAATCAAGCAAGTTTTATTCCTTGGGGAAGGAGTTGGCAAACCTTGCCTGTTAAGAGACAAAAATTGAGCGGCCTGTGGAATTCAAAGGCACAGGCAAGAACTGCATTCCCATGTGGGTGCATGTATGGACACTAACAGTTAAGTTTCACACATGACAAAATACTTTTTTCCTCCCAGTTTCTTCCAGTCCCTTAAGATGATGTAATCTATTGGTCACCTTGAAGGTCTACAGGAAGCAGATGGAATGCTCAGGTGCTTCCTGCCACTCAGAGTGTGTGGATGAGATTGCCCTTGGGAGAATTGTTGGCTTATGCTTCAATGTGGTGATGCAAAAAGGTTGGTGCTAGCACCTTTGCCATATTTTCAAGTTTTTGCATTTTTTTCTTAGCAAGTTGGTAACAAAAGAAAGACTAAAATTTAAATAGTAAGTGGTTTCCCTTCTGGGTTATTATAGGGAATACTATGAAACTAGAAATCCCAAGGACAAATCTAGGAAAGTAATTAAATTCTGTTCTAGCTTGTTTTGGTTCCTGTTCTATTTCCCCTCCAAGGACCCAAATCACCCTGTAACAATGCCGTTCTTTTTTCCTTTGAGACAGTCTTTCTACTATGTAGCTCTGCTGTCTTGGAAGACATTATGTAGAGCAGTCTGGCGTGGAACTCACAGAGATCCACTTGCTTCTGCCTCCCTCTAATCTTCTGTGGGGATTAGAGGTGTGAACCACCACACTCAGCCAACAGTTCTGATTTTTGAAACTACGCGGACATCCAGTGACTCATCCTTTTCATGTGTTGTGTGTGTGGAACATGCATCTGAGTATGCCAGTGTGCCTGTGCATACACATGCAAAGAACAGAGGAGGATGTTAGGTGTTACCCGCTATCACTTTCTGCCTTTTTGCCTGATTCAGGGTCTTTCACAGAATTGGAAGCTTATCCTTTGGCTAGGTTGGACTGGCTGGCCATAGGGCTCCCAGGATCTACATTTCTTTATCTGGTAATTCTAGGATTACAAATACACAGAGCCATATAAAGTGTATGTTGGGCATTCAAACCTGAGTCCTCATGCTTGCATATAAGTGCTGCTGCCCACT